GAAGAGATGCATATGGAAAGCGAATCACGGAGGATCGTCAATGAGGAACAGCGTGCAAAGATCGAGTCCATGGAATCGAGCTTACGTCACAAGGTCCAGGAACTTTTCACACTCACCAGCAATTTCAATGATCTGAAGAAGGACAATGAAAAAACACGGGCTGCCCTTGCTAATACCAATGATGTACTCGAACAGACCGAGATTGTTTTGAAGGACACCAAAGCTCAGCTTGAGGAAGAGGAAATGCTGCGCAAAGCACATGAAGAGACAGAAGTGAAACTTCGCGATATCGGCGCAGGTCTTCTATCTACTTTGGATACGACGGTGGAAGACATTAGTGGCCTGCACGCCAAAATACAACGCAAGACTGACCTGGATGCCACCAACAAGCGGGCCTGGCAGGTGTCTACCGCGGAAGTGTCCAATGTCACTACGGTGATTGATTCCAAAGTTGAGGCGTTCCAAGAGCAACATTCCGAGCTTGTGGAAGCCATGTCCGAAAAGATCAACGAGTTTGTCACGCGTGAACTCGGCAATATAGAATCGAACCAATCGCAATTGCTTCAATCGGCAGGCCTCTTCGATAAGGCGGAACGTGAGGCGAATTCTCAGACCACGGGCGCCCATGATGAGATGAACGAAGTCCTTGAAGAGATTAAGGATCTACGCGAGGATGTTAAGCGTAAGGTTGGCGAAGGATTGAATGGTCTCTCAGCTGCAGCTGCTCGCATTTCCAAAGAGGTTATCGGCGAATTCTCCGAGTTCCACGCTCAACTGCATTCTTCTTACAGTGCTCTTGGCAAGGATTTAAAGACTGTGTTTGAGGATATGGTCACGCATCTCAATGGACAAAAAGCAGAGATCAACAAGCTGCGATTGGAGCTCCAGGAGGCTAACACCAAGGCGGTCGAGGCCAACCGCAGGGCATCTTCAAACTTGGCACAGACCCTTGAGGAAGAGAGTGCTAATGCTGAAGCTGAGCGCGATCTTCTGATGTCGCAGATGAAGGCTTTGATTGAAGAGTCTCGCCAGAGGCAATTTGGCCGCTTGAAGGGTAGGGTGGAGACAATGCGCACGGATCTTACATCTTCTGGAGACTTCCTGGAGCACGCCACTGCGCAGTATGACCGCCATGTTGACGAATGGGTGTTCAAGTCGGAACAATTTGCCAAGGATGTCACTGCATCGAAAGACGACATCAGGTCAAGGATGCAAAGTGACTGGGAGGTAAGATTTGCTCTCTGAATACTTGTGCCCACTTATACTAATATTGTAGGTCTTCGATCAACGCAATGCTTCTATCCAGAAGGTTACAGAGTCGGTCCACGAGGAGACGGTCCGTATTGTTGATGCTCAGGTGAATAACATGAGCAAACAAATGGAAGCACTGGACGATTTCGTTGCCAAAGCTCGCTCGCAGAATGGCCGTTACCGTGACGCCCACCTTTCAAGCCTGCAGAACATGTCGTCCAATGTCCACCAATCATATGATTCTGTGAACACACAGTTCACGGAGCTTGGTGGCCGTCTAAATGAGCTACAAGAGGGTGCAATTCAGCAACAACTCAACCTGCAAGAGTCGACCATGCCACTGTCGGATGAAGTCCGCAAGCCATTGACCGATCTTCGGGAGAACATCAGGAACCGAGCCTTCGAGGAATATGTCTCCACTGGCGTGACTCCCAGGAAGCGCACCTACGACTATCCGTCTGACCTCCCCCGGACGGAAGGCCATGATTGCTTGAAAACCCGGATGAGAACATCGAGACAGTTCACGGCACTGCCATTCAGTGGCGAAGATCAGCTCCCCACCCTCGACAGCTCTCCTGGAACTCCCCCATCCAAAGGGTTCGTTTTCAACGACACCTCGGACGAGGTAGGATCTTTACCACCCAAAACCGCGGTCACTCCTTCCAACACGGGCCTTAGGGAAGTCGATGCAAACGTCGTAAAACCGCGCGCATCTAGCGCTGGAGACCGCAAATCATCTACTGCCGGCACGGAAACCCCTCGGACTACTATGGACCTCACACCGGAAACCGAGGACACCGACCAACCGCCTGCGAAGAGACGCTGCTCCAATCTCACAACTGATAGCAAGCTCTCGCAAAAGAAGTTGACGAGGAAGATGGCTGGGATGCTGGAGGGGCCGGAAAACGTTCCTCCTTCCAGCGCTAGAAGGCTGAGAAACCAGCCCTTCAATTAGTGTCACGTGCTTAACTCTTCTTTTGTTTTGCATTGTGCATGAATATTAAAATGTCTCGCTTGGTGGTGGCAGGCGTTATGGGATACCCTGATACCCTGGAATTTGTCCATCTTGAAGAACGACAGGTTGTTTGATATCGTATTTTGACTGGATGTTTGGTGACGGACACTGAATGGGTGCTTGTTTTGAATGCGGAATGGGTGGTTCTTTAAAACTTTGCAATATGGTGTTTGGGAGTTTGTGTTACCATTGTTTCTGGTATAGATACCTCGTCTGCTACAACAGAGATTAGCCATTTGTGGCTGTTTGAATGCGTCATAATTTCCGCTTAACATTAGAACGTAGGATGTAGTATGTAGCGTGATGGGTGCCTATAAGCAGTGCATATAAAGCTTGCCACACTCCTTGGTTACATTAATCAGTCCGGACAACTACACTTGCCAGCTCAACTTTCTACAGACTGTCCCTCATTCTGCCCACCACCCTCAACATGAGGCTCGGCTTCGATCGGCCCAGTGTTATCCGCAGGGGCACCCTCGACATCCCCTTCATGCAGTCCTACATCACCCTCCACTTCCTCTTCCGCATCATCCATCTGCTCCTCCGCACCAATGACTTGTCTCAGCTCCGATAACCGCTTCGCGAACTGATCCATCATATCTTCCAACCGCTGACTACTCCTCTCTCTATCTTTATCCTTCCCCGGCATATTCATAGGCAGTCCTGCCGTGCCCTTAATCTGAAGCATGAGACTCCCGTTCGGCGGCTGTCCCCCAGACGAGTTATTATTATTATTCTCAAAGGTAGGCGCCGAAACCAGTTGCGTGTTCAGAACCTGCCATGCTGGGGATAAACTGTGTGCGGAGGTCACGGTGTATTTATGCGCCGATGATTGCTGTTGCTGTTGCTGTTGTTGTGGAAGCGGAGGTCCTGTTCCTTGGGCTTCGTGAGCGCTGGCCGCGCCACCGCCGCCGTCGTTGTTTGGGACTGTCGTCTCCGGATGTGTACCATCTGGCGAGGCGTAGTCTATATCGAGAATCACGTAGTTATCGCGAACACCTGGGATAGGGTCCGGGAGGAGGGATTCCTTCCTCTGGTGGGCGTATTCATCGTCTTCCGGGTATGTGCCTTGTTCACCGCCGTCTTGACGATTGTGGTCCTGTGTATGTTTGGATTTACCCTTTCCGTTGGCTGCGAAAAGATCCGGCTCGGATTCTAGGGCGCGTAGAGCTGCCTCGGTCACGATGTCTGTGTCATCGTCGGAGAAGATGTAGTGCACTGTGGGGTGGTGGTATTCGGAGGAGTTGGCATCTTCGATTAAGGTGAAGAAGGGTTGGAAGGTGGTGTGCGATGGTGTGGTTGTTGATGTTGTCTCGTGGGGTTTTTCGTGCTCGGTAGGGGCGTGCACTTGTGGGACTGGTGCAGGTGCAGCTTCGTGGGAGTCGTGCTCCTCCGGAATGTCGGTGACTTGTTGGGCGGTGCCGGGCCGGTCGATGATGCTCTGGGGGCGAGATCCTGAGGTGCGGCGGACTGATTGGCGGGAGGGTGAGGAGGATAAGGGAGATGGGGAGGTGTGTTTGGGAAGAGACATGTCTGGGAGGCGCTACATTGTTTAGAATGGAGTGATAGAGAGGGAGGATGGGAAGTGAGAGCGTGGCAGGGCCGGTACCTGAGATAGTACTACTAACTTATCTGGGGGAACTACTTTAGTCTTAGTCTTACTACTTACTAGGAAGTTGACTTGCCGCATTCGTCGCGGATCATCTGCTGCCTTATCGATAGCGTCAGGTGACCCGATCGGCGGTAAACAGAGTTGTTGTTTATGTGCACGGATGTTGGAGTACCTGTGCTCAAGAATATATATATAGACAAATAGTAGTATAATAATAGTTCTAAGCTAGAAGAGAGTACAGTCGCAGGGTATCATAATTTGCAAGGAGCCACCAACGCCTTCAACAGTCCACTTAGATTGTCGAGTACTGAGGTTGCTATTCATCTTCCTCGTCGTTTTGTTTCCATTCGAATTCTGCAGCTAGATTAGCAGTCATAGTTAAATGCAGGGATATGAATGACATACTCTGTCTGCACATCGGACAGAGTCCCTTTGAGGACTCTTGTTGAATCCAGGTCATGAGGCAGTGCTGGGTTGGTTAGTGTTAGTTGTTTCGTCTTCAGGATGAGAACATCAAGATCCACAATCGCACCATATGAAAGGAGTGACCACACTTTCCCAGCACTGTGAAAATTCCCTGGTTAATAACCATGCAGTTTGGAAAAAGGAGTCTTGTTGACATACATAGCGAGCAATCATCACCTGGGAATTTACAGGTCGGACATGTACCATCAAATTGAACCCGACAAATACCACACACTTCATCATCGGGCATATCCCAGCGCCAAGTAGCAACGGCGTTCCACTCTTTAATGGTGACCTTCATGGCTGAGGAGGATTGATTGGATTGCAATGGGGGATCTCGTTTAGTGTCGGGAGGAAGGGGAAGTTAAGGAAGTGGTTGGAAGGGAAGTGGACCGGGCGATAAGCGGACAGGCTTTCCCGAAGTTCACATGGCCACCTCCGCATTTGCGAGGAGAAAGACGGACTGATAGCGAAGCTCTCCCGTCATTGTCCATTGATCTTGCGCTTCCCACACTATTCCTCTTCCTTTCTTTCCCCCCTCATTCATCTTTCCGGACCTGCAGGTGGGTTAATCAGACACCGCGGTCTGAGCGGAATGTAAATAATCCTTGAACAATTTCTCTCATATTAACTGCATCTCCCCCCCCGCCTCGCAATATGGCGTTTGTAACTCTTCGGAATTCCATCCCTTCACCGACTCGCCTATTTCGGTCCACCATGTCCACCGCAAACCAATGTCGCCAGTTCTCTTTCAACTCATATTTGATCACCCCCAAGGAGCTTGATTCCGCCCTCAAGAAGAACCCGCGCACGAAGATCTCCACCTCCCCTCGTGTGGTACCGCTATGCGCGGCCTGGTTCATGCCGAACGACCCCGAGGGTCGCAAAGGAATTGACATCTTTCGCAAGCATCGCATCCCCGAGGCTCGCTTCTTCGACCTAGACGGAGTCAAGGATCATGACTCTCCCTACCCGCACATGCTTCCTACCGCCGAAACGTTTGCCGAAGCAATGAGTGAGCTTGGCATTCGCCGCGACGACGAGGTGGTGGTCTACGACACTGAGGAGCTGGGCATCTTCAGCGCTCCCCGCGTCGGATGGACTCTTCGGGTCTTTGGACACCCTCGAGTCCACCTACTCAACAACTACAGGCTGTGGGTTCGCGAAGGATACCCGACGGAGACTGGTGAGCCCTCCCAGCCGGAGCGGACCAACTACCCTGTACCTACGTATGATTCGAAACTCGTGATCCCTTACCGGGAGCTGAAGGAGATCGCCAAGGAGCATAGGAAGGAGGGCGCAAAGGAAGTAGAGATCCTGGACGCACGCTCATACGGCCGCTGGGCGGGAACCGATCCGGAGCCACGTCCGGGCCTGTCGTCGGGCCATATTCCTGGCTCCCAAAGCTTAGCTTTCCAACAACTGCTGGACCCGGAGACCAAGACTTATCTCCCGGGGCCAGAGCTACGCAAGATCTTCGAGGGCAAAGATATTGACGAGTCCAAGTCCATCATCAGCTCTTGTGGCACCGGTGTGACAGCAACTATCATTGAGACGGCACTAGGCGAGGCGGAGTTCGGAGAGCCCAACCTACGGAGGGTATACGATGGCAGCTGGACGTAAGTTCTTTCCCGATCCCTGACATTCTACAAAGGTTCGGTGGCTGACAATGGTGACAGTGAGTGGGCACAACGTGTCAAGCCGGAGGAGGGTCTCATCAAGAAGGTAACGTAGAGACGGGGGAAAGGACAGCTGACGTTGGTTTGAAGGCGAGGAGATTGGATTGGCCTGATGATCGTCGGGTCTTGTATGACATAGCGTTTTCCCCTCCATCTCGATTCCAGCAACCGCAATTATACCATACCCGATAGAGACCGAATCATCTAGAAGTACGCGGAATGCCGCAACTAAGATAAGCATGTAGCAAAAAGTAAAGGTGATGATAACACCCGGGCGGCCATTGAGTGAGTGGGCAATGGTAGCGGCGTGTTATGAGGGGAACAATAGTGGAGGAGAATATATGATGATGACAGGAAAATCGGTCGAATCCGTTTGGCGCTTAGTCAGGCCCCAGGCGAATCCCGCGGCTTTCAGTTGATCCGCTGATGGATTCATTCCTCGCTCACCATCTCGCCTCGATTCTTTTCCATCTACGATCGCTGATTTAAGACCCAAAATGCTGCAGATGATCTTCCCTAGTGAGCGTGGTTATCATTGTAAGTCATTCATTCCTTCAATCTGGCATCTGGCTGGCGGTCGGGTTGTGAATGGCCATGGTTCTGGTCCTCGAACCAGCGCCCCCACATTCCCAGGCCTCCGCCTCCATTAATCCCAATCAATCCAAACCTCCCTCGCGGGCTTCAGCACCACGCTAACCACGCCTGCGGCTCGGTCGCAGTCGTCCAAGCAAGCTGTTCGGTCTAGGGCCCTTGTGGCTTTCCAGTCTTTTACCCTTCAAACTACGCGACCGGTCCTGTCGACCTTTCTCAGCCAGCCATGTCGACCGGACGCAAGGTCTTCCACTGTGCCGTGGACGAGACGGCGTTAACCACCAATATCAGCGAAATCAAAAAATGGACCACGAACGGCGCCATCACTCTTATCGTTCCTCTTTACAGTGAGTGAATCGATGATACGCCAGTCGTATCTGCTGACCGATACCACTCTAGCCCTCGAACGCCTTCATGCCTTGAAGAGAGCCGGATCCCAAGTCGCCATCAATGCCCGAGAGGCTGTCCGTTTCCTCGACCGTGTTACCTCCGGCAAAGATAACATTTCCGCCGAACGAGTCATCCTGCAGGGTCCTATGGAGCAATACGAGAACTGGACCGAGGCGGAGAAGTTCTTCCTTCCGGAGTTCGAGGAGGAACCCGAAGCCAACGGAGTTCTTCCGGGCGACCAGGTGGCGCAGCGGAATCGCGAGGATAAGTCCAAAGATACGAAGAAGAACGGCGCCGCTCCCGACGATCTGTCGCAGATGCTTCTCAACAAGTTGAATTTCAAGAAAGAATCCGATGCGGTTTCGATCACGTCAAACGGCACTCACAGCGCCCCTGCATCCCGACCGTCCTCCAGGAGCTCCCGGACTAGTCCCGAATGTGCGAATTCTCATGTTGTCAATGGCGTCGGCAAGGATGCGAAAAAGAAGCCGGAGAGTGGGCACCGTCGTTCTGCGTCGGGGTCCACTATTCCAACGGTTCCTTTGATGCTCAGACCGCTGCTCAGCGCCCTCTTGTGGCGGTTGCACAGCGGCCCTGATGCAGCTAACGCGGCAAAAACATGCATTCTCATTACGAACGATCGGCCTACCCAGATCTGGGCGCAGAAATTCGGCATCGGAGTCAAGAACATTCATCAGCTGCGGACATCCATCCAGTACGAGGAGCGGGAATACAAGAACCGGTGCAAATACGTGGAGAAGACCCAGACGACCACCGCAGAGCCAAAGTCTCTTCTCTCCTACGAGGATGAGAGCGACGAGGACGAGCTTGTTTTCGTCCCCCGCGGTCGCGGCAAAGGATCTACTCGAGGAGGTGGCTCGCGCGGCGGCACTACTCGCAAGGCCGCTGCATTCAAGTCTGTCGCCCCTCCGGTGGAGGCTACGATGGAGATTCCCACGCAGCCAATCGACCCCAACTCGTTCAGCCGATCGCTGGGTGTGACGAAGCAGCAGCAGCCCACGGTTGATCTGAGCACCCAGTCCGGGGCCGCACGTGGCATGGCGGGAGCATCTCGGAACTATTCGAACAGCCGCCGTGGTGGTTCTCGGGGTCCTTCGCGTGGTAGCAGCCGCGGCCGTGGCAAGCTCTGGGTTCCTTGACCAATGGTCGGGTCCGTCAGTCTCTGCAGATGGACGGATGAATATTTCTCAAACTTGAAATAGACCATTGTGGTTGTTACACGAAGCAGAAAGGATATGTTCTGCCATTCCCGGGCTGCCTAAGGTCAGACTTGTTGTCGGATGTGACTGGCTACATTGATGGGCGACAGGTCCTGGACAGACGGCATGGATGCGAAAATGCGGTAGACGAGAGGAATCGGATACGGGACAGTTTCGATCCAGGATGGCCATCGTCGGGGTGAACTCTCTGGGCGTCGCTTAGGCTGCTAGAGGCGTAGTAGATGCTGGGTCCTCATATGGCGTTGCTTTCAATCCTTCGGACTTTCGAGGGAAGAAATGGAGCACATCTTTTCTCCTAGCCACGTTGTGGTGGGCACTTCCCAGGCCGCTTTTCGACATTCTACTCTGCAATTACAAAACAGATATAGCAGTCATTCTTTGCGTTACTCTTTGTTGGACATGTTTTCGATTGCTACGGAGAATAATTGGAGGGGGGAACAGATTGGCGATGTGACCGAGCTACTTGCGACTTGCTACTTAGCTAACTGTTAACTATCCAGTGTGACTAGAATGCAACAGTGACCGATTCTGAATCCTGAAAGTTGATGTTGTAGTGAGAATGAAAATGGTAGGTAGTAATGAAGTCAGGTGTGATGACATCGTCCAGTGGGCCTCCTCGGCGCCAGTCCCGTGGATTCGTCCTCCGCACGCATCACTTGACCTCCCCTCTTAATCCCCTGGACAACCAGCCTTCTTTCTATTCTTTATCCCAGTCACACCACTCTTTGAATCACACTGTATATACCCAGTCCATCTTCCATACCTGCCCAGCGTTTACAACCACCCTAGCATAACTCATCCCACCCATCTAAGCTCTAACAAGTCTACCCCGCAATGGACCTCAACACTACTACACCTACTACTGCTACTAGCATCGACGAGACCCCTCTCTCCGCATCTCCCGAACGTCGCAGTTCCCTGGAGAAACATCTCCAGAGACGTCCCGACGTGCAGGATCTCAAAGACAGACATATCCTGCTGGATACGAATGTTGCTCCGTACGCTGCCATACTTCCATCCATCTACACATACCATCTCCACTACAATAAGATAACCACTAACAAAGAGGATAGTTCCCTCCAAGCAACCCGCCAAGAACTCGCCCGCCAACGCACGACAGACGCTTTGAAGAAACATCTTGAACATCGGCCGGAGAGAGAGGAGTTGGTTGAGCGTATGTCCACCTTACTATATACTCTATATCTGTTTCTTTCTATCAGGGAATAGAGCGATGCATGCTGACTGCTTGGTGATTGTTGATGATAGGAAACATCCTCCCCACCACCCACGCCGCCCCCGCACTGCAGGCGAATGCCCGTGAGCTCGAGAAACATATGTTGGCTGATCACCTGGACCAAAAGATTCAGAATCGGCCCAATCCCGAGGATTTGATTTCACAGGGTATTTTGACGGAGGATGAGGACCCGAGGTTTCCGGCTGTTTAGACTGAAGTAGTGGTGTGATTGATGATGATGTTGATGATGATGGGTAATGGGTGGATGGATATGGTGTTTGGTGTTTTATTTTATTGATTTGGTTTGATTTGAGTGCTTCTGATTTATGATGGTTGTTTCTGAAGATATTGAGTATTTAGTATACTCGTACATGATTGATGAGGTAATGGTCATGCAATGTTTACTTCATGATACTGTTAGTTGCTTGATATGCATGTATATCGTACAACATCCATCACTCCCCAATATTCCCACTCATCCAAGATGAACGTAAGATGGATAATACCACCACTCAATACTCATCCTCTCCACCCCCACTCACCACCAAATCCGGCCTCCACCCCTTCGGTCTCTCCCTCCCCCTGACCAAAATCCCATACGCCGCGCGTTCCACCTTCTCCACACTCCCCTGCATAACATCCACCTTCTTCCCCATATCCCTCAACATAACCCCACGATGTCTGCCCGGCACACTCAACCCCTCAAACCCGCACCTCATCTCCCTCAAATCGACCACAATGCCCTTTTGCTCCTCGCCTAGCCCCACACCATCACCTTCAGACGTACTTCCCGCGGACAACCCCGTCACCGCAAACCGCATCATCTCGCCCGTTAAATCAAACAACCCAAGCAGATAATCCTCCTCCGTGACGAGAATCCCCGCAGGGAGATGCTTCCGCACTTCTTCGAGAGTGATTAGGGACTGTGTGGTGAGGTAGTGGTGGAAGGATATGGCTTCGATGAATTCTTGGATCGCGGGGCTGAGTTGGCGCATGTATCGGTGGGTGTTGGGCGCGGGGGTCAGGTCTGGGAGGAGGGCGGTGAAGTGGGTGGTTATTTGTGCGAAGCGCGTGGTGGTTTCTTTGGTTAGGTTGGGGGGGAGGGGGTGGTTGAGGGTTCGGATACTATTATGTTGATTTTGTGTTAGTGGTGGTGTTGGTGTTGGTGGGGAGGAGGTGGGGGATCGGGGATTGGGGCATACCGCTGCAACGCGAAGATTATCTTCTTGCTGAGGGCGGTGATGTCGCGACTGGCTTTTATTATGCGTTCGCGACGGTCGTGGTGCTCGTCGAGCTCGTCGCGGAAGGTGGTGAACATGGGAATGAAGGGGTTGGGTTGTTGTTGCTGCTGTTGCTGCTGCTGCTGCTGTTCGGGTTGATGGGAGTGGTCTGTGGTAGAGTCTGCCATGGTGGGTGGTTGTGGTTGGGTGCTTGTTAATAGGGTGGTGGTGTTGGATGATGGTTGTCCGTCCCAAGTGCGTTTTGTGCCGGCCATGGGATGAGGTCAATGTGTGGTGGCAGTGGTGGTGTGTTGGTGGGAAGGTAGAGGGTAGAATTGATGCAACGGAATCAAACTGGGAGAGAAGATGTCATTATTGGCGCGGGGCTTTACTGTTTTGGGGTGATCGTGGTGTTATCTTATCTGATTGGATCAGAGATGAATTGGGGTAGGAGATTCAATATGGATCATTCTCTCTAGAAATGAATTCATAGCAGAGTTCAATTCAATATTTACTGTAATCAAACCTATTGGATAGATTTTATGGTAGCACTCAAAGAAGCACATCTGGAGTCCATCACGCCCTCTCAACATGCTCCACCCCCAACTTTGCATCCTCTCTCTCCACCCGAACAGCCTCACTAGACGGATAAGCCACCCGATACACCGTATACCAAGGCCGCTGAAACAGACTATCCAGCGCCTCCAGCGACCGTCCAGTCGTGTCCTATGCCCAATTAGCCCATCATAACCTACTTCAGCAAACAGCGTATACTCACCGGCATAGCAAAAAACACATACACCAGCCCAATCACACAAATACAACCAAAGAACAGAAACGCACCCCAGCGATGCGTAGCAGCCAACAAACTAGGCATAGCCCTCGAACATCCAAAATAGAACGCCCAGTGGAAAGCCATCGAAATAGACACATTCAATGACCGGATCCTAATCGGGAAAATTTCCGATCCAATAAGATACGGAATCCCGAACCACCCAATACTCCACGCCACGGCGTGGATGTAAATAGCCACTATTGCTGCGGTTGATGCGCGCGAGGCACCGGGGGTATTGCTGATTTGGGTTGGAGTCATGTCCTTCGTAGCGCCGAGGTAGGCTCCTACGTACACTAGTGTGACTATTTGTAGGGAGATGCCGGTTATTAGGGATCGACGACGGCCGATGAAGTCAACGATGAACAGGGCAAACGCGAGGGTACTTGCGAATTTGACCACGCCGTAGATCCCTGTCGCTAGGAAGGTCGACTCGTCGCCGGATATGCCCAGGTAGCCGAAGATCGTGGGCGAGTATTGCGTGATGGCGTTGGCTCCGGACCATTGGGAGAGGAGGTTTGCCATGAAGATGAGGAAGAAGCGACGTCGGTTTTCGATTGGGATGAGTGTCTCTTTCAAGAGCTCCCATATCGTGGCTTCGCCGACTGATTCGGTTTCTAGGAGGAGTTGGGCGTCCATGCCTGCTAGCTCGGCTACTATTATAGGGTGGTCGAGGGGTAGGTGGCGAAGTTTGACCAGGTTTGTGGCTGCGTCGTGTCTTTTGCCTTTGTAAAGTAGCCATCGGGGTGATTCGCAACAAAGGAAGGATCCGATAAGCCATATGGTGGCCGGGAGGAGTTGCAACAGTGTAGGGAGCATCCACTGCTTATCACCGCCAGGGTAGCTTTTGGTCACGCCGTAGTTGATGAAGAAGCCGAATACAACGCCTAGCTGTTGACAAGCAGCGTGCTGCAATGTAAGAAGACCTCTAATCGTTTTGGGTGCGATCTATGGCTGTTAGTTGAACAAACACCTCTCGTTATCAAATCATACATGCATACCTCCGAAATATATATAGGCGGCACAATCGTTAGCACGCCCAATCCCAATCCCGCAATAAACCTCGAAGCATACAGCCCTGACATGTTCCCATTGCATAGTCCTTGCCCAAGGATTCCTGCAATATAGATGAGTGTCGAGAGACGAAAGGTCCATCGTCGTCCGAATCGATCGTTGATTCGGGGACACTAACCGACATTAGTATTACCAGACCACGAACATAAATCGAAACCAACATACCCCAAGACATCCAAAAACCGCACCAGCGGTAGTAATAGAGACAATCCATCCTTTCGTATTCGCATAGTCGTCTTCCGACAAATGATCAATGCCAAATTTCGCCTTGAAATGCGGCTGCGTAACAAGCGAAGCAATATTCCCTATCAACAGCAGACGATCAATTAGCTGTCTACCCTTCCACACCGTGATATATTAATATACCATACCTTCATCAAACCCCTTAGCCACGCCAGCAAACGCAAACACACACGTACACATCAATACATAAGCATTAAACATGCCCTTCGGAGCATCCTGAATAGCCTTTCTCGTCTCAGTAATAAGACCCATCCTGACTCGAAGCTGGAACACTCAATACCGCAGATGACAGATTCCCCAGACCCTTGAAAGCACGGGATAACCCCGGATTTTCGCAAATTATATATAAACCCTTCCCTCATCTTATCCCCATATTACTAGTGGTATCTGCCCACACCCAATCTGGCACTAACGCCGGGAAATGTCCGACCGGATCGGATCCAGTCCTGTTGCACGAAATGGCACTACTACGAGTACCAGTACTAATATATAAGCGAGAGATTGCGGGGGCCAACAGCAACCAGCCACAGCAAACCCTCGGCCTTTACTGATTCCAATCCAATTAGATACGACCAGTACTATCAAAATGAACTTCTACCCAGCCCCCCCAACTATCCAAGCTGAAATCTACACTCGCATCCCCTCCCACTTGCGCTGCACAGGCCAACCAACAGAGTGGCGCAGCGGCTCGGCACGCCCAGCATCTGATATCTTCCTCGAGGGGCCGGTCTATACCGCCAACGGCGATCTCTACATCGTAGATGTTCCCTACGGGAGGATCCTGAAGATAGACAAGGACAAGAATGTGACGGAATGTATCCGCTACGATGGGGAACCCAATGGGCTCGTTGTTCGAGATGATGGATGCTTGGTGATTGCGGATTATAAGCAGGTGAATGCATCCCATCCCACACCCAGTAGAAAGAAGCGAAATGTTGATAAGTCATGGAATCAGGGGATACTTCTTTTCAACCCGAAATCTCAATCTCTAACACCCCTCCTCACCCGCCGGAACCTAGAGCGCTTCAAAGGTCCCAACGACCTAATCATCTCCAGCAAGAACGAGATTTACTTCACGGATCAAGGCCAAACGGGGATGACGGATCCGTCCGGGTGCGTGTACCGGCTCTCGCCCGATGGGAGACTAGATTGTCTTGTGTCGAACGGGATTTCTCCGAATGGGTTGGTGTTATCCCCCGATGAGCGGTTCTTGTATGTTGCTATGACGAGGCAGAATTCTGTGTGGAGGTTACCGTTGAATGCAGATGGGAGTACGTCGAAGGTAGGGTTGTTTTTCCAGTCGTTTGGGTGTGCGGGGCCTGATGGGTTGGCTGTGGATGAGGAGGGGAGTTTGTTTGTATGTCATCCGAGTCTTGGGTGTGTGTTTGTGGTGGATAAGGAGGGGGTGCCGAAGGCGAGGATTGTTACTGCGAAGGATGGAGGGAAGAATTTGACGAATTGTACGTTTGGGGGTGAGGATGGGAGGACGTTGTTTATCACGGATAGTTTGGAGGGCAATGTGCAGGTCGTGAGGTGGCATTGTAGGGGGGTGGTTGGCGGGAGGGTTTTGAAGGCTAAGATATGAATCATGTATAGTAGATGTCATGGAGAGAAATGTAAGAATGTTGTTTATTACATAGAAAAAGCTCACAGACTAGCTAGATATTGGTGCAAATTGTCAATCGCCGCAGTAGCACTCGCCAATTGTGCCCTCGATGTGGCAGCTCCAATGTGCGGTGTACTGATCACATTCAGGTTCTCCCAGAGTTGGCCATATATCTCATGACTGGGAGGTTCCTGTTCGTGGCAGTCTAGCCCGGCACCCCAGAGACGGCCTTCGGATAATGCCCGTGTGAGGTCATGTTCATTGACAATCCCTCCCCGAGCCGCATTGATAAGGATGGCATCCGGCTTCATCATGCAGATCTTGTCGTAGGTAATCATGTCTCGTGTCTCCTTGGTCAGGGGGACATGGACCGAGAGGATATCTGCACGAGTAATGACTTCATCGATGCTGCTAGCTCTGGTGTGCGGGATATGCGTCCATGTATCCTCCGGCATATAAGCATCGTATGCGATGATGTCGGTCTGAAAGCCACCCCGAAATATCTCGGCAACAGTCCGTCCGATATTTCCCATGCCGATGATCCCGACAGTCTTTTGGTACAACGTCAGCCCGTTACATGTCTCCTTGGGGACTGGCTTTGACATTTGGCGAGTTGTAATGGACCGGATACCACGAGCAACCGACAGAGAAAGGGCAACGACCAGTTCGGCCACATCGCGTGCGTTCGCCCCAGGCGTGTTGAGGATCTTGATGCCTCTTTCTGCGCAGGCATTTTGGTCGATCTTGTCTATTCCTACTCCGTGCTTGCCAATCGCAATCAGATTCGGGCAACTGGCGACATCCTCGGCAGTAAGATAGGAACTTCGGATCAACAAAGCGCGCGCATTCTCTCTCCAATTCTGGAACTGCTCATCTTGAGGCTGGATAATATTAAATAGTGTTTTGGCGTGTTCGATTGCCTTGGGAGGGAACGTGTCAAGAAGGTACACCGTTGGCTTATCCGCAACCGTTTGGCGGGAAGATGCCGGATCATCGTCTCTGCTGGGTGCCATCTTGGATTGAAACAGAGTAATTATGCACTGTGAGTTTGTCAAGCCAATATTGAATTGTTTTGACTCATTTCTGGACAATGACTGCTTTGATATATGCCTCAGTGGTTCGGATTCCGTCCGGCGGGTATTCTCCGAAGGCAGTCTGTCCGGTCCGCAAGTCAACGAACGGGGCGACTACTCCGAAACGTACCTTCGATCATCACTCGAAGGGCGTGAGGGACTATTTCCGGTAACTCAATCACCTGCGCCTTTTTTGTCAGCTCTGCAGGGCGTCGGTCATGAATGCTTTTTGGCCAAAAACTATTACTTACCATGTCTGCTGACTCCTGTAAACACCAGAGCACTCTGCAAAGAGCTTTAAGTGCCGAGAACCTCTCTCCGAGTAGGGTCAAGAGAGAAGTACATTTGTTGAGAACACTGGCTGCATTCGGGACATCGGAAGATGGCGACATCCTTCCCAGGCAGATAAGAACCACGCCTGCAGAAAAGATATCGAAGGCATCAACGAATGATCCCGTGAAGCAGTCATTCTCCACCGCCAAATACTCGTTACTGATATATTCACTACATGTGTTTATTATATCTTGCCGAATAGTATGCGTAGTCCCAAAAACCCTGGTTGCGTTTCGCTCAAATCCACTGATTTGCGCCAGGCAGACCATGGACCTACAGGTGAGCTGCCGTAATGTTCTCGAGGAAGTCGGTGATATATTAGATCCCATCGTTCCCCTAGGTATGTCTCTCCAGTAGGAGAAACTTCCGTAGTGGAAAATTGATTGCTGATGTGAAGAGCCTCGCATCTTAGATATTAGTCGAGCGTGCATGACAACGTACGCCGGAAAGTCGAGCGTGTCTGGTGGACTGATGTCCCCATGAGATGGAAGCTTTGATGATGTTAGCACACGCATCGAACTATTTTCTGAGACGTACTTGAAGCGTAATATCTTCATCTTCAATGCTGAATGGCCGGTCCATTGCGCAGCTGATAGTTCTGCAGGACGTTAGACGATTTCTGTCAATGCTCAAAGAAACACACACCTATCAAGTGTGTACAAGTTCCAAAATATGGTTCTTCTCCGATTGAGCTTCTGCTCCGGTATTCCAATGTCGGAAAGCGGCTCTTTATGGAACCTAAACGATATCGCCTTCTTCATGGCCAGGCCAACAAGATGCCATGTGGATCCCCCCATCGAGGAGAACATCGAGTAAATGATCAACAATTGCATAGAATGCAACATTTTCAAGTCATCGTTACTGCCTAGGATAGTAGGGAATCTCTGCATGGCCGTGCTGTGCAAACTGCTGGCGAACAGTTCGATGCCAGATTCGGGAGAAAGCAGCATCCCAATAGCTGTTGCCATATACACGTTGAAATCCCTGAAGGCGGTATATGAGATTGCATGAGACACATGGCTACCATCGAAGAAAGAGTCACAATATTCTAGCATCTCACCCTCGTTAATATATGGGCAGAGGGCTTTTGTATGCCCAAAGAAACGGCCCATACAATCAGCCACAACTTCTCTGGTAAGTGTAGGGGTCTGTCCCAACATGTTCCTGTACTTTGACTTCTGAGACAAAGAGAATAAAGACTGTGTTGGGTCTTTCCCTGAAATAGCAAGGATGGCTTTTATCATGTTTCCTATTGCTAGTTCCTGGGGAAACCCACTTGCCTCACCACGGGGCTCTGCCATAGCATTGCGGGACAGAAATTCAATCTCTCCCATAGCTGCCTGCACCGATCTTTCAGTGAGACTGGTTTGCTCCGTCAACGGAGTGCCGTGAGAGGTTTGTGGACTATCATGTGCAGCCTCTGTCGGGCCATCGGATGGCAGCGACGGCCTCCCATTGCTTGTGTTGGTTGATAAACGAGGTCGTCGGCGCTGAGACCGATCGTCCAGATCTTTCGCCTTTCTTTTGAGCGTCTCAATGTAGCTGAATCATGTCAACATCAGCTCTGAAACAGACTAGGCGATAGCGAAGTCAGTGCATCCTTACTCTGGAAGCGCAGCATTGGACAGTCCGCTTGCATCCTCTGCGGTACCCCCTAACTGGACGCTTCGTGGACAACACTTGGTTTTTGCTTCAATGCAGGCTGTGCACCCCGGCAGCAACCTGTCGCACTGTTTGAATCACTTTAGTGAGGAAGATTATATTCGTGGTAAACAGATTCACCTTTTGCTTCCGTTTCCAGCATCTCTCACAGGCTTGGAGTCTCCGTTGCGCTGTGGGACTTTGAGGCGTAGGACTTGTCCGACGGCTTTTTTCCATGGTTCAATGCCCAGACATGGAACTTCGGAGTACGTGAGATGCCATCACACTACAATTGCGAGAAACGTGCGTAGCCCTCGTGGGGTATGCTTGTCTTGGCTGCGGGGAAGCTGTGCGGCGGAGAAGTTCCGAATCCCCACTGCGGGTGGATGGATCCTGCGGACATTGTCCGATGCGGAAGATGTATCCCAAATGGCAAAAGGAAAGACGTGACCTTGGTACTTGCAGAATTAGCTTTAATGCAAGATGATAATGTAGATGTAGCATGATTTTGCGAAGCAGTGATTCGCACGCCGCCTGTAGACCTGTGTTTACTGAGTTACGGGGAAGGTGCAAGGCAAGGCAGGGCTAAGACATTGGCCCTACCACAGGTAGCCGAGGCTATTCACTTCTCCATATTATTTCCCCACAATTTCGTTCACGAAGCTCTTGGGAGAGGGCATGAAGTAGCAAAACATAGTAAGACTGCAAATACACTGGCCTGCTCTTGGTGATGAGGGTTGTGTGCTTCAGCAATTACCGGCATCATGGCCAATGGACATGAGAACAGGCAACTACTACGACTGCCAGCCTGCCAGTCATGCTACACGAAGAAAGCCAAGGTAAACATCCCAATATTGAGACACAAACCATGCCGATTTAGGCTATTGATTTGACCATTGGAGGTCAATAGTGTGACAACGCTCGTCCAAAATGCTCGCCATGTATGAGGAGTGGACAAGTTTGTTTGACGGTTAGCCTGAATGGTAGTGAGCCGGTCTCGCGGGAGTAAGTGTCCTCTTTTTAATTCAAAAATAATAGATTAACAGGCCGAAGATATATAGATGAGCTGGAACAGAAGGTTCTAAGCTTTCAAACAGGGGTCATTGACATAGAACCCATGATGAATGATACAGAGGAACATTCATCGGCAGACGACAATACTCCGGGGCCCGCTCCCCATGGCAGCTTAGGTCACATTGTTGAAACCGCGGATGGATGTAATAATAATATGAGCCTTTCCCCGAACTACACCGAGGGTGCTGGGATTAGGTATTGGTGGATATTCCTTCGGAGCCGTGGTCCCTAGGCTGACAGTGACCAACAGCTTTATGAGTCTTCTATTCACTGATCCCCGATGGAGGGAGCAGAACCAGAAGCTTCTCCAAAATCTATCCAAGAGGGCCACCATTCTAGAGACCAGTGTCCAGCAGAATTCACTGCCATCAGCTGAAGAGGCCTTGGTTGTATTCAACAGTTAGTATGTGTCCCCCTTAATTGCAGACACATATCCACACTGACAAATCACAGCTTGGGAGCATCTCATGTCCAAAACCCCTTCTTGCTGCGTCGATATGTGCAAGATCTATACCGAGCACTCTTCCCCGAAAGTCTGGAAGACCAACATGCACGTGCCAGTGCCGGTCAAACAACGGAGCACCAACTATTTCGGACATTCATGATACTTGCCATCGGTGCCATCCCACTCTATCGAGCCGGCAAGCACCAGTACCACCCTTACGGTTATTTTCTTTCCGCGTTGAAACACCTCGAAGAAGGCTTTCTCCTGAAAGGCTTGGAGTCCATTCAGGATCTGTTGCTCGTAAGCAGATTTGGCATATACTATCACATTGGTGCGGTGTCCTCGCAATAACAATGTCGTATCTACTACTGACTGCGTATGTAGGTACTTCTATATGGGAATTGATCCAACTTAGTACTAGAATGTGTATTGAGCGGGGTCTACATAAGTGTCGACCTCGAAAAAGCCCAGATGACCATCTGCTAGAGGAGCAACTGCGGAGACGGGTATTCTGGCAGTGTTATATGCTGGATCGATACACCTCTGTGATGTTGGACCGCCCACCCGCGATAGCCGACAAAGATATCCAAGTCGGGTTTCCGGCCGACGCAGATGACGAGGAGCTCGAGTTGGCCGGGCAGTCTGGTGTATTTGCGGATCTAGATTCCTCCTATCGCATGAGCACGGCACATCTGGATTCTATGCATACAACTGAGACTTCGGTTTTTCTCCTCTGCTTGCGACTACGTAAGATTACCTCAAAGATCCATACAAGATTTCAGCAAAAGGCCAAGGAAAGAGCTGAGCAGGAGATGTCACAAATTGAACTGGCCACAGCCAGCGGAACCATATATTTAGATCTTGACGAGCTACTGAATGAGCTAGAGAGTTGGAGGAACTCTGCGCCTGTCTTCTCCAACCCAAAATGCTTGTATGAGAGGCAGGAGTGGTACGATCTGCTCCTGATGCGAGAGCGATTACTTATTATCCGCAAAGCAATTGATCTCGTGCCTAAACGAAACAATGTGCCTCCGCAAGACCTCCTCAGCATCTGCCTTGAATTTTCCGTGGGGACTATTACTACTTTCTGTGCAATGTTTGACCAGGGGCTTGTGACATACACACGCAGTTACTTCCAGACTCTGTTCACTGCGGGATTATCTGTCATGTTTTGTGTTTCAGTTGTAGAGGATCTTGATTATCAGACCATAAGGAGTGCTTCTGAGGCTGTCAAGAAGGGCGAGAAAACATTGAAGCTCATGGTCCAGGAGCTTCCTGATGCGGTTCACTATGTCGCTCTATATGAAGCATTGCGGGCCGACATCTTGCGCAAGACAAAGAACCAACGACCAGATGCAGTGCATGGCGAACAGCATATCCCATTTGATATCACTCATCAAAGTGGAAGCATACAATTCCTACTTGATGGTAGTGTGAATAATGAAAATGAACCTCCTGCACCCGTCAATGAACACAACCCGCCGTGGCCCATTCTGACGCCCAATGCAATTACGAACGAAGACCATTTGATACAGTTGCAGGAAGCAGCCATTGAGAACCAACAATTAGCATGGGACATATTTGGGGACAACGTCTTCTGGAGTATGGAGGCCGGCATGTTAGGGGAGTACGTGTACGGGTCGTCAGCTGCGGGTCACTTCCTCGACATATGAAAATCAATATATAACCACAATAGAATACAAACAAGCCATCTCTCTACACCCTCTCCAACCTCACATTGATATCCTCATACTTCTGACTCAACTGCCTCATCCCCGCCTGCACCATCGCCCCATCCTGTCCACCCAACGACCACGTCGCCCCCAACTTAAACCACATCTCCAAAAGATCCAGTCTCCCCGGAATCCCCCCAATACCAACTGGCTTTCCAACATCCACACAAGCCTTAATAACCCTCTTCACCGCATCCTGATACTCAGCAGTATCGTAACCACCGGGAATCCCCATATCCGAACAGAGATCATTCGAACCCACCAAAATCCCATCAACGCCCTCAACAGCCACAATCTCCTCCACAATATCCACCGCCCCAGGCGTCTCGATCATCGGAATCAGCATCGTCTGCTCATTCAACACCGCATTCTGCACCTTCGTCGACACATGCCGGAACCCAAACGCCGGCTGGTTATTCGTGCAGCCGCGCTTTCCCAGGGGAGCGTACTTTCCATGCTCGACTAATTCCTTCACCTCTTCGACGGACTCCACGTGGGGAACTACCACGGCGGAGGCGCCTGCGTCGAGGATGCGACTGATATGGAAGTGCGATTTGGAGGGCGAGCGCACGACGGGCGAGATGCCCGCGCAGTGACAGGCGAGAATTAGTTGCGAGACAGTGCGCATGTCGTGCGCAGAGTGCTCCATGTCGATGAAGATGGCGTGGATAGAGGTCGTTTTGCAGAGGAGGGGGAGTTCATTGGTTGTTAGGTATTTGGCTGTTAGGAGGGGGGTTATTTGTCCGGAGAGGATGCGCGTCCGGAAGGGGTTGGAAATGCTGGTGGTTTGGGGGTCGGATTGGGTCATTTTGGTCGTAGTTTGGATGAATGTAGATGGTGATTGACTTGAGAGTGTAATTGGGAGAATTGTTCTTTGGTTGATTGAAATGATCTGGCTAAACTGAGCTTATACGGTTACTTATATATTGATGTTAATCGCTAAGATCGAAAGTATAATTCCTTGTCTAATTTAGCAATCCGGAGAATATCCGGTTGCTGGACGATGAGTCCATAGCTTCATCCGGAACTTCTCCTACGGAGCGGAGAATGTCCATTCCCACACGTATGAACAGCCTCATAGCTATAGGTACTTACTCTAGTGCTAAGAAAGGACCAAAATGAGTCATAACAACATTATACTGAACAATCAATGTGAAGAAAGAGAGTGAGTCGTAAGTCAATATACCAAATCATAAATGTCACACACTCCCTCATCCCAACCCAACATCAATCACTGCTATATCCCACACTACCAAACACTCACCCAGACAACCCTACAACTACCCATCTCATCCCTCTCACCAACCTATCACCAGCAGCATACCTCCGCCCTACCTAAGTAACAAACCTCCACCCGGACCCATTCCCCTCCACCTCCTCCCTCTCCAGCTCCCTATTCCTCCTGACACACCACCACCTCGTCCCCAAACAAAGCAACACCGTAAGTCCACACCCCGCAATAATAATCCCCCCTCCAGTCTCATACCTCGGCTCCTGCGACGTGAGGAAGAAGTACGGCGTGAACCAATGCGAGACGGACGACACGCAATTCGCGATGGCGACGAGCGCGGCTCGTTTTGTGCGTGGGCGCGGGACGACGCTGGTTTCCCAGGATATATGGATCTGAGTTATTGATTAGTCTGAGTGATGGGAGCTCTAGTTTAAGTGGGTAGAAAGTGGTGGTTTATCTTACGTTTAGGCCGACGAATGGTCCAGTACAGAGTAAGACGAAGCTAAAGTATCGTGCTCCGATGTTCAAGGTTGAGATCATAATCACTGTTCCGGCGAGGGTGATGAGCATGGGTATCACGATGTGCCAACAGTGCTTGAGAAATCGGCCACAGGACCATGAGAGGACCAAGGTGGCGATGTAGGCTATTACCCATGGCGGAGCTTGGACGAGGTAGGTTT